ATTTTTGGATTAAATAGAAATTTTATTAGTGAATTACTTATTTTATCTATAAATTTAATATTCTCATTATTTGACTTATTTTTTGTTACTAATAATATTTTATGTCCTGAATTTAATTGATATTTATATGTTTTATAATCTTTTTTATCTATTTTTTCATTTTCTATTAGTGAATATGTTAATATAAAAGGTAATGGATCACAATCATCTTTTATGTATGAATCTTTATAAATTATTTTATCTTTTTCATTTAATATTGTTAGATTGTATTCAAACATTTTCTATTTAAAATTTTTTATAAAATTTTTTATGAAAATCGAAGTAAATTTCCGTGGAAGTGGTGATCATGATGATGATAAGAATTTATGTTTTTTAGAAAAATCTGCTGTTGAAAATATTAAAACTAAAAATGATTTAATAGAATTAATTTACAATAACTTTAACAAAACTCATTCAGATTTTTTCAAAGATTTATTTGACTTTTCAGATGGTACACTCTGTTTAATAGATGATGTTGAAATCAATTTATTTAATGAAGAAGAAATAAAGAATATTCAGAAAATTGATATCATTACAACTCTACATGGTGGATAATAAATTCTATTAACCTAATTTGTTTATTATTTTAACGATTTATTTGATGTTCTTTAAAAAAATTAATCAATCAAACTTATTTAAAAATGATTTGTTACTAGAATATAAATTGAAAAAATTTACCCCTAATTATGAAAACAGTTAAAATATTTTATAAAGTATCAAATACTATAGCAGAGATAGCTTGTAAACCTGATCAAACAATACTTGATATAAAAAAACTCATTAATAACAAAAATCCAGAATCTGTCATACTAACATACAACAACAAGAAGATATACGAATATACTATTGTTAATTCTTTGAGTGGAGATGTAATACTGGTTATAGAAAACGAAGATAGTATTTTAGATACAACTTTAGTATTTGTCGATGCTGCTGAAATTGATCGAAGAAACAAAAAATCTAAATCTAGTAATTTATCAATAACACTAAGAAATATTCAATCAGAAGTAACCGATTGTTTAAAAGAATTACTTGGTGATGTATTTACAGATTCAAATGATGTTTCAAATTTCATTTCATCGTTAATTTCAAGAGAGACTGTTTATAGAACAACGGTGTTGATTTTTTTAGCTAAATTTAACTTTAATTTGTTTGTTTTTATAACTTATGTTAAGTTCTTTGAATTACTCGGATATTTATTTTATCAATTGAAGAAGGAAACTACTTTTTCATTTGATTTTTACTCTAAAACTGTTTTATGTTTTTTTACATCAATTATTTTTATAAATTATGATAAAATATTTGAAGATGATTTAAATATTAACAAGAAGAAAAGAGCAAAATAAATTATTTTATTCACTTGAGTCTTCATTAAAAATTATTTTCTTATTAAATTTCTTTCTTTTATCATTTTTAATAAAATTTTCTTCTATTTTATTTTTTTTATCATTTTTAATAGATTTTTCTTTTTTATCATAATTATACTTCTTATTCATATCTTTATTTCTTGAATCATTTTTAGATCCTAATTCAAGATGTAATGGTCTCTTGTTTTTATAAACTAATTTCATATTAATTACCTTTTTAGCCACTTCTTCATCTAAATATTCAACAAATGCATATCCTGCATTTCTTGTTTTATCTTCTTTACTAATTGGTAGATTTAAATGATGAAGTTTACCAAATTTCTCAAAATATTCAATTAATTCTTCTCTCGTGGTATGTCTTGGTAAATTTTTAACAAAAACTGTATAAAATCTTTCCTTGCCTCTTGGTAATGATATACTTACATTGATATTTCTATCTAAAACTTTCACTCCATCCATTCCCAGTGCTGCTTTCATCCCATCAACTAATTCAAATTCTATAAAACAAAATCCTTTATTTTTAGTATTTGTATGTGCCAATGGTATTCTAACTATCTTGATTTCTCCACACTCTTTAAAAGCTTCTCTTATATCACTTTCTTTTGTATCAAAATTTAAATTTTTAACAAAGACTGATGTACCAACATTATCAATTTTTGTCGTATCATTTTGAACAACTCTACTTAAGTTGTTATTTTTAGTTTTTGCTTCCATGTTTACGTTTTTTAAATTTTCAGTATTAGTTTTATCATTTTTTGTTTTCATTTGAAGGATAAAAATTTTTATGAAAAATAATTTTTATAAGAATTGTAACGAACTTGATTTGTTTAAAATTAAAACAATCAATATCTCATTATTAAAACATATTGATAGAACTACTATACTGTTACATAAAGATTTGATTAAAAAATTAGACCAAGTTAAGATTTTATTCTTACTGGATGACAATATAGAATTTTATTTAAATCTTCATATTACTTACGGTATTAAAATATACAAATTATCAGATGATTCAGTCAAAGAAATAAAAAGTAAGTTTAATTATTGCCATTTAGTTGGATTTACTAAATTGATTAATAAACTTTGATAAAGTTTTTTTATAAAAAATTTTTAACCCATAAAATGAGACCAGTTATAAAACATAGAGGTAACACTTACAAAACTAAAAGTAATAGAAGAGAAGTTAGAAGAGGTCCTTCTGGTAAATTAACAGCCATTAAAGTTGGTAAGAAAGGAAATGTTCATCATTGCCATGAGTGTGAAAGACCATTGTATTCAATAGCTGCATTAAGAACAGCAGAATTTTCAAGACAAAAAGTATCTGCTAGACGTGTAAGTAGAATTTTAGGAGCAACAATTTGTGGTAAGTGTGTAGAAAAGAAAGTTATTACTACCTTTTTAGAGCAAGAATCAAAAGCTGTTTCTATTAAAAAATAAATAAATTTTTTATTATTTATTTAATAAAATAATTTAAAAGTGTCGACGCCGGGACTCGAACCCGAATCTACAGATTATGAGACTGTCGTACTGACCTTTATACTACGTCCACATTTATTAATTTTGATAAAATTTATATACTGATATTTTATACAAAAACAACTTTTAAAAATTATTTAATGGAATCAGAAGAAAATGATTTGAAAGAGTGTTTTAAAAGAAATCAATTTAAACATGTTGATTATAAATTTAATGGTACAGAATTAGAGTATAATAACTTATTAAAAACAAGTAAAACTCTTTACGTATCTAATATTCCTAAGAATGTAAGAGAAGAAAGATTATGGCATTTATTTAGTATTTACGGAAAGATAAAAGAATTACACATGGGAATTAACTTTGGAGGTGAATTTTTAGGTTTTATTTTCATTGTCTATTCCACACAAGAAGAAGCTGAAATTAGTTTGAAAAATTTAAATTTCTATAAAATTGATGAAAATACTCTTAAAATTGATAGAGATAGAGGATATTTTGAAGATAGAAGATTTGGTATGGGAAATAATGGAAACAGGTATACTAATAAACCAGCAATTGTTAAAAGAAGAAAATATTAAATAAAATTTTTAATCACCCTTAATTTTAATGACTGATCTATTCAAAGAATTATTAAAGAAGATGAAGGAAAGCAATGGTAAGAGCCATACAAGTCATTCATATTATCAAAGTTATCAATGTACTGGTGGAAATGGAAGAGGTATTGCTTATGAAAAGAAGAAAGAGATTGTTAATGGTAAAGAAGTATTAAATAAAGAACAAGCCTATAAATTAGAAGATGGTGATTTTAAACCCATTAATAATGATGAATATGATCAATTAATTAACGAATATGATAATAAATCTTATCATTCTCTTAATGATAAATAAAATATTTTTATAATTTAATTAAGCAGGAGGAAAATAATTACTAAACAACAGTAAATAAACTAATAAATAAGTTAAATATACTTTCATAATTTTCTTATTTCTTAAATAATATTCACCAATTTTAATATAAACAATAGGATTATATGATATAAACCTCATAACCATATTCCAATGTAAAAAGAAAATAGTCATAAAAATATTAATTACAAACAATAATAACATTCTATAATACAAACTGTTATTATTAATGTAATTACCTTTTCCAATAAAAAATATTCTAAGTGATAATAAAATGATTGGCAAACCTACTATTAGATCAAATAGATTTTCAGACTTAAAAAAGTTTAAAAACCCCTGGTCCCAATATTTCCACTGAATATAGGAATATGGTATTCTTAAATTAAACCAACAGTATTCTTTTGTTAATAAGTATAATATATATAATTGATATATTGATAGAGGAAATAAAATTATACTTAAACTTAAAATGTATTGATAAAAATTTTTAAATGGAATTAATAAAATAACCAATATACCATTAGACCTACATATACCTAATAAACTAAATGTAATTGAAGATTTAATATACATTTTGGAAAGTAATTGATTAATTCCAATTAGAAAAATTAAAACAAATAATGATTCTGAATATAAAGAACTAAATATAACAGATGAAGGACTAAATATAAACAAGACAATTGATACATTTTGTAAGACTTTGTCTTTAATTATCTTCTTTATCATTTTACTGAACAGTAAAACTGATAATATAAATACAATATTATTAAATAAAATAGAATATGTAAAAATTTCCATATTGGGATTGATAATATTATAAGTATATCTTATCATAAAAGGTAATAGTGGAAAGAATACAGTGGAATGCTCGGTAGAATATTTATAATTGATTATATCAAGAAAATGTATTGCATCCCACCTCAATAAAGAATAATTATCTTTTATACAGTAATCATAAGGAGGGGATATATATTTGACACTTAAAGAGATAATTATTATTAAAATACGACTGAAAATAGCTAATAACAATGTCTTAAACATAATTCATAGTTTTAATTTCTTTTTAAAGATATTAAGTTTAAAATAAGTTTAATAAAAGTCATCACATGTCATGTTAGTGTTATAAAAAGGATTAGATAAGACACACATTGAAAATTTCTTATAAATCTTACCAAAATAATTCTCACTAACTCTCCCTTCAGCTAAGAAAATAAATGTTAAATTTGTGAGAGTTCTATAAATTGATATTTCGTTTTCTTTCATACAAATAAATAAAGAATTATTATTAGAGTTAAGTACTTCTTTTGCTATTTCATACAATGATGTTAATGAACTTGCTAAGATACATTCATCATTCTTGCTTAAATTTTTATTTGTTTTACTATAAATTAAATTACCTGATTCATTTACAATATAAAACTCTTTTATTTCTGATTTCATTTAAAATTTGATCAAATTTTTTTTATGTTTAACATCATTTTACCAACATACAATGAAGCAGAGAATATTGTAACCTGCTTAAATATGATTAGAGAGGTATTTAATAAGATTGATATCAATCATAAAATTATAATTTGTGATGATAACAGTCCTGATGGTACTTCAAAGATTGTAAAATTACTTAAAAGATCAAATATAGTTGTAATTGAAAGACCTGGTAAGATGGGATTAGGATCTGT